CTCATTTGTTTATCTGGCAGCTATCTACTCACATTTCAAGATTCAGCTCAGGCTGCTTGTCCATGATGCCTCTTTTGACCTCGCTGCTGTCACTTAGTAGCACTGATAACTCCCTCCTTTGTACCCATTGTACTTTCTGTATATTTCTCTCATTACCCCATAGCACTTTATCCGTGTTTGTTAATAGCACTCTCTACGTAAATAGCCCCTAACAGTATCATTGGATTAGGGTACAGTATGGCTACCAATGCTCATTATGATGACCCTGAGTCCATAAAAAACAGGCAGGGCAAATTAGTAATCCTATTTTTAAAAGTTTCCATTGAAAACAATAAAAGAAAAAAAAGTTTAGATGCTACAAGAGGTAACCTTCACCTATTTGTAACCCCTTCATTTCTATTAAATCTCAATTTCATGTATGTATCTGCTAAGTCTTTCAAGATGTTTAAAAATTCTGAAAAATCTGCCATAAACATATATTATTGATTTTTTCCTAATCTAGCGAGAAATAGAGGGCTGTTTATGAAACATGATATAAAGCCTTAGAAGGAATGAACACTAAATTGTTGGTTTTGGGAATTTCTAGAACTCTGCTCAATACACTGAAAAGCTTTGTAGGAGCAAACAGCATGACAACCTCCCGTATTCCAGAAACCTTCTCCTCTGCCCTTTGCACCGCTACCCGACAAAGTCATCTTATTGACACTCCCTCTAGTTATCGAGAACCCAATCATAGTGAGGAATTGAAAAGAACCCTGGGCTAGCTGATGAGTTTTGGTTAAACCTTTGGATTCCTCAGCAGTGATGAGATAAGTGTGAATCTGTGGTTAAAACTGTCTATATTCTTCATCACCAACCCCTCATTCCTCCAGTCCTGCAGATCTTGGGTGATCCTCTATGGGTGAGACACTTCTCAGAATTCATCTGAGTTCTGTATTTTGCTCTTTGAATTTTTTCAAAATAAGGACTTGAAAGCAGTGTGTTTCACATAATGCCTTGGCGTGTTCTTCTGTACTATATGATAGGCATTGTAATACCATCTCTCTTGAAATAGTATTATGATGACATATTAATGCTTCCAAAGCATTTTCAAATCCGTAGAATGATTTCCGGTAAATTCAGTGCTGTATTATTTGGAGTAAGACTTTCTAAAGGGGAACAGTGCTCCTTGGAGTTAAAGAATGTCTGGTCTAAATTATATAGTACCTAAAACTGGAGAATACTTTCTTGTTTGAAAGTGTGCAACACTATAATCTCTATACCCCACGTAGGTATTCTAACACATTTCTTCTTGGGGACTCTGGGCTTTGCAATGGTGTTTGCCATTACAGGTGAGGTGGTATTGTGTAACAACAATTTCGTGAGTGCTATAAACAGTGTGCCGCACAGCAGTTTGCTTAATATAGAAGAGTTCAGAAAAGGGCTGCTGGGAAATTCCAGACCTTCACAGTTCTCCCTTCCTCTGTCATTCTCCATTTTCTTTTCTTTCTTTCTTTTTTTTTTTTTTTTGAGGAAGATCAACCCTGAGCTAACATCCATGCCAATCCTCCTCTTTTTGCTGAGGAAGAGCGGCCCTGAGCTAATATCTATTGCCAATCCTCCTCCTTTTTTTCCCTTTTTCTCCCCAAAGCCCCAGTAGATAGTTGCATGTCATAGTTGCACATCCTTCTAGTTGCTGTATATGGGACGCCGCCTCAGCGTGGCCAGACAAGCGGTGTGTCAGTGTACGCCCGGGATCTGAACCTGGGCCGCCGGTAGTGGAGTGTGCGCACTTAACTGCTAAGCCATGGGACCGGCCCCTCCATTTTCTTTTAATCTATCCTAATTGTGTATAATTGTTGCTGTTGGGCAAACTTCCCTGTTGTGCCGAATGAGCTCTTAGTCCCTCCTCTCCCTTGTGTGTGTGTGTGTGTGTGTGTGTGTGTGTGTAAATTATTTATGATAAGGGAGGTTCCCTTACCCCCCACCCCTTTCAACTATTACTAATTTTTATCATCTTAATTCTTATGGTCAGGAGATATGGATCAACATAATTCCTTCCTAATATCTACTTGACTCTGAAAGGGAAGATTTGACAATTGCAGGGAAATGATCAAATTCATGCAAATAATAGCATACTGAAAAGAGTTTCTTAAATTTCAATAAAAGTGTAGCAAGAGAACGTAGGAAGGATATTTGGTACCAGTAGGAGCTTTGTCAACAGTTGGAGGAAGCTGCAGGTTTTTAGGGCTGGACCAATCAGAAAAGCTTTGAAGACTGTAGCCCTGGAGGAGCCTGTGTCCCCAGTGGGGTGCACAGATGCTGCTATAGCCATCCCAGGCCAGAGACCAAGTGATGCTTAGCAAGGTGCTTTCAGAATTCCCCTGAACACATTCGACTTAACAGACCTGTAGATGACAGCTCCTATGGGATTCCTGTTAGATTTATATCTTCAATGTGGATACCCCACTAAGCCTTCTGGGGCAACTGGGGATCCAGGGAAAGAATGTAAGTGGAGGCCCATGTATCAAGTTATAATGAAACTGCCAAATAAAATGCATTTTCCTCCCTTAACAAGTATGCCTTCATAACGACCCAGAAGGCTACATTTAATATAAGTTTCTCAAACTTCTTGGGTTCTGAGCCAGAACATGATGACTGGGGAGAGCTGGCTCCCTTGCCCACCCCTCCCTTCTCTTCCCATCCCTGGCTCTATCCTGGTCCCTCATGCCCATGGATGAGGGTGGATACTCCAGCCTACACATCCAAGCTCTCCACGTCCCCAGAAAATAGTTGCTCCTTGGACACCCCTGAGTGTAGGGATGCATACCTGATGATGCAGTCTGTCTTCAGGAATAGACCTGGAGAAGCAGCCAGTGCAGGGCTTGGAGGCAGGCTGGGGGCTCCTTGGCCAGAGAATTCCATTGTTCCTCTACCTGGGGCATGGTCTAGAGGGGAAGGCCTGGGCTCTGGATGGGCACGTCTTCATGGCCCCCATTGACTCCAGGTCTAATGGCAGCATGGCCTCCAAAAACCCACCCCCTGCTCCATGGATTTGTGTTATTTAAGTCACGTATACACTGTTAGTCATTGAGGGTCTTAATGGGTGATAATTTCCACATTTCATTAAGTTAGCCAAAATAGCACTGATTGTGCCATCTCAACCCCTTAACCCACGTTGCATCCTTGCTGAGATAATTCTTGTAGATAAATTATAGATACAGATAATACATTTGACTTTGCCCAGCAGCTTTGCTGTATCCTCAACTTGGCTGTACCCATTTATTCAATGTCACTTGATTGTTAGAACCAACTTTGGTGGTGGGAGGTGTGGAGAATAGTTTTAATGTCCTTTTCTTACAGGTTTGGTTTTCTGAAAGTTTTTTCTTCTTTTCCTTGAATAGAGGAGTCTGTTTAAGCTGGTTTACGTACTGGCAGTGGCATCCAGAGACAGCGGAGTGCAGCAGGCAGTAGGGAACTCAGTGAGCCAGGGCTGCCGGGGCTGCCCTATTAGCCTTCTTCCCAGCCATTTGGCCTGCCGCTCCCCAGGGCCTGGTTTACAGCCATCTCTGTCTGTTAGTTGAGCCAAAGCTTCTAGCAGCAGGGACATTCCCCATATATGGTATTTTAATCTCTCAACTTCTGTGTCTCCCTTGTCTTTCTTCCAAAGAACTGTCATTGCCAGCAGCCTTGTCTCCTACCACCAGAAGTAGCAGAGGGTTCAGCTAATTGCACACAAATGATCAAGTTGATCCATGTTTTCACATAAAAAAGGGCAAACTCCACTTTTAAGGATGTGGCATAGAAGTGGGGTAGCTGAAGGTGCTATGAAGAACTTTGTCTCAGCTAGAGGAGCTTGTACATTTAGGAAGCCTGAGAAATCTCAAGAGGCTCTTATTTGCTCATGTTTGGGGCAGTGTAGCATTGTGGTTAAGAGGACGTGGTCGGGCGCCAGACTCCTGTACTTAAACCAGGCCCTAGCACTTACTACCAAGACCTGGGGGCAAGTTATTTAAACTCTGTGCCTCAATTCCTCAGCTGAGAAACGTAAATAATAATGATACCTACTCATATGTTAATACACGCAAAGCATTTAGGACAGTGCCTGGCACCTTGAAAATGGCAATAAATGAATCTTTATTATCTCCTGGGATGGACAGGCAGTATTTCTACATTCCACCTAAAATGTGAGGGTTCAAATGGATTAGTAATAGTGCTGGGAAATGCAGGGTTTCTCCATTGTCGTTATGTCGCTGATTTCAGTGCCTCTTGTGAAGAGGATTCCTGTCCTGTTCTTGGCTCCAGCCATGGACCAGGGTATTGTCTCCAGTCCCTTGGTTCTGTCATCATCACACAGTCCCGACCAGCTGGGTCAGGCCAGCCCAGTGCTACAAATGACTCTTGTCAGCGGGGAGGGGCCTCTCATTACCCCTCCTCCCATGAGCAGCTTCTTTCACTCCTCCTGGAAACAGACCAAGTGGTGATTGCTTTATAAGATTGCAATGCAAACTATAGAGTGTTCCTCTCCTTTCTTTTCAACTTTAGTTAAATTAATAAATATCAACTGAATGAATGAATGAGTGAGCCTTTCCTTTTTGAACGGTGGGAGATTCTTTCATATTTCTGCCCTCTGTCAGCCCGAGTGTCCCTCTCTGTAGCGAGTTGCTCCGTCTTGGATGACTTAGTGGGTCTCATCCAGTTTGACATGATACCACCACAAGATTCCATATCAACGTTCTTATAGTCATTATCCATCAACTCTTTCTCCATCCATACACCAAAATGTATGTAGACCCTGCACAAAAAAGACGAAGGTATCATCATGTCTTCCCTCTGACTCACCATGACATCACAAAAACTCCAGCAGGAGGCAGCGCTTCCATGATCTCTCTCCTTTTGAAAATCACTTGGCCCTGGAGAATTGACATTTAACTGCAAAGAAAACCCAATGCCTTAGTTATGTAATAACCAGATAATGAACACGGGGACAGAGATGTAATATGTAACAAATGTTCTTTCAGTCACAGAAGATCTCATTAGACGGAATGCTGAACACAATGACTGTGTGATTTTTTCCCTGGAGGAACTCTCCTTGCATCAGCAAGAAATAGAAAGACTGGAACATATTGACAAGTGGTGCCGAGAGTTAAAAATCCTATACCTTCAAAATAATCTCATAGGAAAAATTGGTAAGATTTCAGGACTTGGTTCTCGTGGTTTCTTTAACATTTTGAATGGGAGAACTTTGGAAAAGGTGGTGTTATTCTTAGAGGAAGGGGATAGCTGAAACAGAATTACATGGGGAGGTAGACACAGCTACCTCTCAGTAATTGTGTGCAGAACATTTCCCTGAATGGTTCCACATGTGGTCAGTCTCCTTGCCCATGGGGATGGCCATCAAAGAGAGGGGAGGCACGGATAAAGGCCAGAGCACATTAGTTGACTTGCTCATTCATAGCTTGATTTTTTAAAAGTTTGAAAGGGAGGAGGATGTAATCCAGGCATTTGTCATGGTTTTACATCACTGCGAAACTGAGAGGATTATGTGGGAGTGGAGTAAGTCCTTGTCAGATTACCACAGCCTGTGTTAGCCACTTCTGCCCTATGTATTGAGAATGTGTATGTGCAAGGCATTGTGCTCCCTATCGGGTATTGACGGGGTTCCACAATTACGCCCCTGTTTACTGCTCCAGTCTGGAATGAAACGAGAGGTGAATACATGAGTCAGGTGGGTGAACATCAATAAATCTGTGTTATCACTGACAAAGCTCTCTGGAGAGGGTGGCTTAGACTTGCACCCAAATAGGCTTCCATTCTGCCCCCAGAATGAAACCTGTTCACCCGGTCACCTGCAGAACTGGACAACCACAGGCTTCCCCTACCCAGAGTGGCCCCTTGCTTTATGGCCAGAGGAGGTCTAGACCATGTGCTTTGTGCTGGCAGGAAGATCCCAGAAGCCAGAAGAGAGTGTGGGACTGGGCATGCCCAGTTCCTTCTCCCAATTCACCCATCAGATAAGTTGGTATCCCCCACCTCCCAACACCGGAAGAATGAGTTAAGGGGCAGAAAGAAGGGAGGTCTGTGGAGTCACTGTAATGGGGGTCCTGCCACATGGAAACAGAAGGGGTGTCCCCCAACCCTGGGAAAAGCAACAGTGTAGTTTAGTGGTAAGAGCAGGCACAGGCCCTGAGGTCAGGTAGACCTGGGTTTCAACCCTGCCTCTGCCACTTAGAAGCTGCGTCAAATTAGGCCAGTCAGTTACTTGTCCAGTCCTCATCTTGCTGTCTGTAAAGTGGGGATAATGACTCTAACACACAGAATTGGTATGAGGACTACAGGAAACCCTGTGCTGAGCATTGTGCTCACTCATTAGATGAGCGCTGCTGCGGCTGTTATTACTACTGTCCCTTACCCCTTGGTGCCCAGGCCAGCCAGATGAAGGTAGGAGCAGAAGGGAGAACCGAACAGAGCTGCAGGAAAAGGGATGGAGTCAGGGTTGATGGGGCAGAATGAGTGGCAACCTGCGTGGGTTCTGGCACTGGAGCCCAGAGGTCAGCTTTTAAGGTTATATTTTAACTTTCCATGGTGATGGGCAGTGGTTTCCAACAGGGGCATTTAGCAATGTCTGGAGATGTTTTTGGTTGTCACAAGTGTGTGTGTGTTGGGGGGACGGGGTGCTAATGGCATGTCGCATGCAGAGGCCAGGGATTCTGCTAACCATCCTGTGATGCACGGGATGGCCCCTCCACAAGAAAGAATTTCCCAGCCCAAAATGTTAGTTGCTGAGGTTGAGAGACCCCGGTGATGTGGTTGCCTCTAGTTTGGTGGATAATTGAAAATTGCCTCTAGGGTTGCAAAAAGCCTAGATTTTGCATCATTTTTTGAAGATTTATTAAAATTCTTTATATTTCTTCAGATAATTATTTTCGGCATCTTTTACTTTACCAGAAATTAGAAACTCTGGCATATTGTTCAATTAAAAAGGCTGTTATAGAAAACCACCAGCTTTCATGCACAGGGGCATTAAAGAGCCTTCCTAATTGTACAGATCTAAAAGAGTTCCCGAAATTGTAATCTCCACAGCTGGGTCCATCACAATTACTAATTAGTAGCATAGTATTTCAGTCCTTTTCAGAGCTGTGAGAAAGCTTAAATTTTTGCTTCCAAAGTATTCTTAAATTAAACACTCTTTTAAATCCTAATAATGGGAATTTTCAGTGCTACTCCACCCATAGGCATTTAGGCACTTATTTAGCAAGTAAAACTATTTCTCTAGGATTCAGACTTGCTCTTGTGCCATTGAGGTAGAAGTTTGCAAAGCAATTGCCTTTCCAGAAGCTCTGTTCCTCATTGGGGAATACAGATGGGCTGGGAGAAGGCTTGGCTTAGTGTTGATCCAGGTGTGAGCTGAGCTGAGGACCTTCAGGGGTCCTGTTAAAGTGGGGCTCAGGCCCCACCCAAGACCTACAGACTCAGAACCTGTGGGGGGTGGGCTCCTGGAATCTGCATTTCTTTCTTTCTTTCTTTCTTTCTTTCTTTCTTTCTTTCTTTCTTTCTTTCTTTCTTTCTTTCTTTCTTTCTTTCTGTCTTTCTGTCTGTCTTTCTGTCTTTCTGTCTGTCTTTCTGTCTGTCTTTCTGTCTGTCTTTCTGTCTGTCTTTCTGTCTTTCTGTCTTTCTTCCTTCCTTCCTTCCTTCCTTTCT